AATATTGGCATTTATTGTTAAACGCTTTTTTCTTCATTAATAAAGCATTTAATTAAAAAATACCTTTTAATTTAGTGAAAACTTTTGTATGCATTTTTTCATTTTTCATTTACTGCAAATCTGAGAAGAGAAAAATAGAGGTACACACACATCCACACATATGTATACACACATATAGATACATGTATAGAACTACAGATGTTATATGCATTGTCTATTAAATAAATAAAATGTGAAGAGTTACAAGGGGCAGGGTGATAACTCCTCAGTCTTGAGATTGTGAAACCAGAGTACTGCTTTATTTTACTCTGGTAAATGTGTATATTTAACAGAGAATCTAAAACTCATCACAATTTATTAAACCACTTATTACCCTGCTTAAATGTGATTCATCCTTATTAATCTGGCAAGCTCTGAGTATTATCCACTTACAGCTAAACAGAAAATGCTCTCAATCTCAAGCTAATTTTGCGAGTCCCAGCCTACTTCATACGATAATTAAATTCTAGTGCATTGTGATGAACACTAAAAACTGTGAGAAAGTTTAGTAACACTCACCTCTTTTTGACGGTACTTAATAGCCAATTTTAATCTTGCAAGATCATTCCCACTTTGTTCTTCTATCAGACTATTGTCATCTCGGTAATTAAGGATAATTTCCAGTTCCCGGGAACTCCGTGTCTGATCCAGAAGGTCCTTAGCAAATTGTTTGCACTGCCTTGACAGCTCCTCATACTCCGACTTGAATTCGTTTTCCACCTTGCTCAGTTCCTGCAGCTCCCAGCTCAGCTGAAAGGCAGTCAGGAAAGGGTCTTCGCTGGACAGCGCAATGAGCGAAGGGCTCGCCAAAGCCTTGTAGATGTTGAGTCTGGAGCGGGAGTGGCGGAGACTGTCCACATCGGAGCTGGACACACATTCAACACAATTGCAACGGACCTCGTGGGGCCGGGGCACCGACACACCTTTCTGTACTAGGAGCTTTATTATCTCGTAATTGTTGGTATGGGCTGCCAGAATAATGGGCGTGATGTCTGGAGTGAATTCAGAGAACTGCTTATCCAGGAGTATGGGAGGCACCTGGAAGAGAGAACAAAGCAGAGATTGTGAGTATTTATTCATGGGTTTGAGTTTCTGAATTTCAAACAGCATGCCATAGCAATGTCGGACAAGGGTCATAAATCTCTTACCAGATTTTTGCAGAGAGAGGACCATTTCCTTTTTTAAAACACAAAGTAAATCAGAGAGAAAAGGGAAAACTGTAATGGCGTGTTTTTCTGTCTTTCATCTGAAGGACAGCATTGTATTAGATCTTCAAATAGGTGGCTATGAAAACTCTTAATTCAAGTTTTTGTGCATTTTTTTTTTTGTACATTGGTTCCTTCTAACATATTTCCTAGCAATTCTTTGCCTTTCTTTCCCAGAGATGTGGGAAAGAAATGAAGAAATATACTTAGAAGTTAATGACTGTTTTTAACCCAAGATCTCCCTCTGCAACATGAGTCTCTGAATTCCTTCATCTGTGCCTCCCTCCCCACCTCCTGCACGGAGGTCATACCATCTGCATGCCCGCCAGCAAACCTACTGACTGAAAATGGCAGCACCATATAAGTGAGCCAGCCTCATGTTTAACAA